CAGGAATGAAATTATTCTTTGGTGAAGCAAACTCAAGATTAGTTTCAGCAGATAAATGTTTGACAATATCAATAGACGAATTATAGAGAGGGGCAACAATATTAAGAGATGAATTATCAACTTCAGTTTCCAAACCTTTTCCAGCATCATTATCAAGATTATTGAGAAGAATGGTGTCATTATGTTCCTTACCATTAATATTAACGACCAAAAGACTTTTGTCTTTCTCTAACTTTGGATGAGCTATAAAAGAATAAGATTGAGAATGACCAAACATCTTACATTTAGTACAGTAATGAGGAATGAATTCCATTTCTGCCGGTTGCCAATATCCATTTCCAATCCAAATGGAGTCAGGAAAATGGACCTGCCATCCCTCTCTACCAGAATCCTTGCCATAAAAGATCTGGTACAATGAAGAGTGACACTATCAATTTTCAAAGATTTGCCAAAGATTGAGCCCAAATAATAGAGAACTTGAGGATTTTAATAAGTAAATATTTAAACCAGGAAACCAAATTCAAATAGGAATAATTGGCGGACCCTCCAACGGATTGAACTCAGGAGTCCATTTAAGGATTTTCATATAACATTTATCAATTAAGAGAAACTTTCTAGAGAATAAGAAAGTAAAATTCTTTTCTTGTTGCTACTTAATCAAAAGATGTCTTTCATCTATTAAACCCAAATTCCAATTACCAGCTAACCTTAATTCAGAAAAAAAATTTTAATCACTTCCAATTTAGGATGCACAAAAGAAAATTTTCCAACCAACGTAAACTTCAGCGACTCAATAAGAAGGTTAGTATCTTAATCATGTAAAATAAGAGCAAGTTTACCATTCTTCCTCGAAGCTTTCTTGAGCAAACCACTCGAAGCACTCTTAGCAAGTAGACCCATAAAAAACGAAGGGAAATTAACATTGACTAAATCATAAGGATTACCAAAAATGATATCCTTGTATGAGGGCACAACTTCAAGAAGAGGAAAAGCCATCAAAGGAACCCAGATAGAGAAAACCCAAAAGATCCTAAGAAATCCAACACAAAACCTAGAATCGCCTTAGGAAGACAAGAAACACATCAGAAAAGCTCCAAGAATCCATCCTCTTGCCCAAATGACTTTTTATTTTCTATTTTGACCTTAATTTTTACTAACTTATTTCATTCTCATTAGAATTGAGTTGGTACTCTCTTATATCTTTCACTAATTCTGATCATCATAAAATTTAATGATTTTGATCTCATCATGTATATTAAGGTGATACATGCCTATGCAGAGTTCAATCATTGCTTTTTTATAGCTAGAAATAATTGTTCTACAATGACATAGTTATATAGACTCTCCTGACTCTCCTGCTTCCAAGTCCAATATCACAAATTCTGCTAAAAAGGCGACTTACCTTACTTTAATTAAAAAAAAGAATTTATCATTTTAGGCTATTTTATTGAACTATCTGCTAACTGAAGTGATAAAATGATGAGGACTAACTTGTCCCAACCTCATATTTCAATAGGTTGTTAATGGCATTAGGTTGATGCTAGCTCTCTTGTCAGAAAAAAGATTATTAATATGCTCTTCTTTCAGTACATTAAATGATGAAGCTCTTTAAGTTTTTCCTTTTACAGGAATGTTTCATTATGTGAGTAAACTACACTCCTTTATTAGTTCCATTATTTCATGGTCTTCTAGCTTTCTTTTGCTGGATAACTCCTTCGTGAACTTTAAAAAAACAAGATTTTAATCTAATGCATATAAATAATGGATATTTATATTTAAATTTAATAGCACATTTAAAAACTTTTTAAAATTACTTACCCAACATTTACTTTTAAAATCTTTCAAGGTATAGGAGGGACGTTAGATATTGAGGTTAATTGTTTGGGGTAAATCTAGATTTATGCCTCTCCTCCTTGCACTCTTCATTATTTTTTATTATTATCCTTTGCTGATACTCTATTTTAGCTTTCACATTCTTGGACTGGCTTGGCCCATAGTTTCTTTCATGTGCTTCCAACCTTTAAAATTTATTACCTTGAAATGCTTTGATGAGTTAACATTTTCTTTTTTTCTTGAGATTACACCCAATTATTTATGGGATAAATGTTGAGATTTTTTTGCTTAAACTTCATGTTCAAAATAGTAAGTTCTTATGGAAGGATTAATGCATCTTGTCTTTTTTTCTATTATGACCTTAATTTTTGCTAAATTATTTCATTCTCATTAAAATTGACTTGGTACTCTCTTATATGTTTCACTAATTTTGATCATCATAAAATAATGATTTTGATCTCATCATGTATATTAAGATGATGCATGCCTATTTAGAGTTCAATCATTGTTTTTTATAAGCTAGAAATAATTGTCTTTAAATGACATAATATATAGACTCTCCTGCTTCCAAGTCCAATATCACAAATTCTGCTAAAAAGACAACTTACCTCACTTTAATAAAATTTTTTTTTATCATTTTAGGCTATTTTATTGAAGTATCTGATAACTGAAGTGATAAAATGGTGAGGACTAACTCTTCTAAACCATATATTTCTATAGGTTGTTAATGGCTTGAGGTTGATGCTAGCTGTCTTGTCAGAAAAAAAGATTATTAATATGATCTTCTTTCAGTACATTAAATGATGAAGCTCTTCAAGTTTTTTCCTTTTATAGGAATGTTTCAGTATGTGGGAAACTACACTCCTCTATTAGTTCCATTATTTCATGGTCTTCTAGCTTTCTTTTTTTGAATAACTCCTTCATGATTTTTAAAAAAAATAAGATTTTAATCTAATGCATATACTTAAGGGATATTTATATGCAAATTTAATAACACTTTAAATTTTTTTTAAAAATTACTTACCCAACATTTACATTTAAAATCTTTCAA